TGTGGAGGGAGATAATGAGATTTAGGTTAAGTTACCTGTTTAGTCTCACACTCCAGGGAGCTGGGGCTGGGTTTGACTCCAGCTTCTTTGCCCACACTTGCAGCCTCCCTGCAACTGCTTCCTGTAACACTTTCTTTCTATTTCTTGCACAGGGCTCATCCTATTTTTCCTTATCCAGATATGTCTTCACACTTTTGCCAAAGTATTAGCTTCCTGATGCAAAAGGCTGTGGCTTCTTTCCTGTAGCTGCTTCTGCTGTGGGTGACTGCCTCAGCTCACAGGCGGCGGGTTTGAGGTGACAGGTGGCGTGCACATCTGTCTGCTGGGAGGCAGAAAGACGAGTGAGGGAAGAATGTCCAATCTGGTTTCAGTGTCTGCATAACCAGCCGCTGGAGAGACAGTATCTTGGTGACCGCTGAGAATCCGGCTGAGCAAGCCAGCGTCCACGCAGGCTAGGCTGTCCCACCAGACAGGAAGAACTGTGTCACCAATAGAGCACAGGACCCCCACTGCTGACTGTGGAGAAACAGCCTTCCGGAGGTCTGGAACGGGACCCCGGGGTCGTTGGTGGGACTAGGCAGACACCCGTGCTCTTGCGGAACTCCCTTCTAGACGGGGGGCTGGGCAACAAGCACGGGGACAAAGTCCATGAACAAGAAGAGGTCAGAGATGATGAGGGCCAAGGACAAAACAGAGCCAGGGATGTGGCAGACAGTGGTCAGGTCAGGAGAGGCCTTTCCAAGGTGAAAGGAGAGCCGAGACCCCGATGACAAAAAGGGCCAGCCACATGGAGACTAGAGCAGAGCTTTGCAGATGGGACATTACAAGGGCCTGAGGCGGGAGCTAGCCTGTGGTGTTCCAGGAAGAGCAATTCTGGACAGTGTAGCTAGGGGGAGAGAGTGGGCAGCAGGTGTTGGGTGGGGTCTAATCACCTGGGTCAGAGAGTCCCCACATGTCCCATGATGACACCTGTGCCCCTTTCCACCGAGGCAGTTGGAAGTAGACAGCCATGGGCTTCAACCAGGATGCTTGGTGCCCCTCCCCAACGGCCCCCTGCACATTCTGCCCTAAGGGGATCTCTTTCCTTGGGTTATGCAGGGCACAGACAGCCAGGGCAAGACTGCCCTGGAGCTGCCAATTGCCCAGGGCCCCACCTGGCCTCCCTGAGGCTGAGAAGAACCTGGTCTCCATACACCTGTAACCCACGTGGTCCCATTGTGAGTTCCAGCTCCTGGGCCGGAGGGCACCGGTGGAGGGCCTGTAGATCAGGATAATAATGAATTTGGATTTACTTAGATGGCCATGAGAACCCATTAGAGGGTTTCCAGCCAGGAATTAATGTTAGCTGGTAAGAGTTCTTAAGGTTACTTTGTGTGACCCATGGGAGGTGGCAGGGGAAAGGGGAGCTGGGAATTGGAATTGTAAGTGGGGAGCGAGGCAGCGCACCCAGCTGGACAGATGGGCACTGTTTAGCTCCAGACCGCAGTGTGAGTGGTGCTGAATGCTCTTCCGTTGCCATCTTCAAATGCTTGGTAACTTTTGAACAGAGGCCTGAACGTCTTCATTGTGCACTGGGCCCTGCAAATCGGGCAGTCGCTCCGACTGCGGTGGGTAGAGAGGTGACAGCAGCAAGCCTGGGGAGCTCACACAGAGTGACAGATTCCACACAGAGTGAATCTGGGGCGGTAGTTGTTCATGACTTCACGCATGTACAGTGCTTCAAGAGGTGCCTGGGTGATAGACGGGCTTTACAAGCATCAGCTGTGAGAGCAGTAAGAGTTATTATAAGGACCATTTTGGAGCGGGAGGTGGGAGGGGCCTTGTGCTTTAATCTCAGGGAAAGAACAGAAGAGGCAGGGCAGGGACGGGCGTTTTCCTGGGAGCAAAGTGTGAGCCCCGAGGGGGAGCTCGGTTTGGAACTCTCGGGGCGGCGGCTGCCAGCCACCTGCAACAGCGAGGGCCCTGGGTTTCAGTTCCAGGAGTCTGACCACCGCCCTCCCTGTGTGACCCCACATCTGGCAGGGGTAGAAGGCCAGAGCTGCGAGCCGGGGTGCCCCTGAGGCCTGGGGGAGGCCCGGCCCGGCACGTGTGAAGTCAACAGTGCATATCGCCGCACACACCTTCCCTGTCCTCGTTCTGTCGGATGAAGACATCACGCAGCCTGCTTCCAGGAGCGTGGCTTCGGGGCCAGCATAACCAGACAGGCAGTGCTGGCCTCTCACAGTGCACTGTCATTGCTCCCGATGCTGTCCCTTCCTTGCCATTTGTCACCTTGAAAATAACCATGTTCTGGGACGGAGGCCCAGGTCTGTTTAGCAAGACTTGTGATGTTGTACAGAAGCCAAGAGGACAGTGGCATTATCCACTCAGCACACACCGGGTGGTGCCCACTCCACAACAGAGCGGGGCATCGTTCCGGCTGTGTATTGCCAAGTAACAGACTACAAAACCGCCTCCCAACGTTAGTAGCTTCCATCAATAGCCATTTTATTACACCTCACGATTTTGTGGGTGAGGAATGCAGGCATGTCTTGGCTGGGCAATTCTTTTTTTTTTCTCATTGTTTTGACAAAGGTCAGTCCATGGAATTCAGCAAGTAGATGGGTGGGCGTCCCAGGTGGCTTCACTCATGTGTCTGATCTCCAGATGGGGTCATTGGCCACAGCACCTACAGATGTCCTCTCTAACGTGGCGGTCTGGGGCAGTCCAGCTTCCCCGCTATAGCAGTTCACAGAGTATTTCAAGGGGAGAGGTGGAAGCTGCCAATCCTGTGAGGCCAGAGCCCAGAAAATAGCACAGTGTCACTTCTACATTATCCTAGTGGTCAAAACAGTCACCCAGCCAAGGGGAGGGGACTCACACCTCACCTGTCATTGGGAGGCTTGCGGAAGAATCTGTGGCCATCTCTACACTGCCCTGAACACCAACATGAAGAACTGTGGGTCAGCGTTATAGAGGGTTATTGCCAAAGGCAGTATAATTACATAGAGAAGAGGGGTGCTGATTCTGTGCAGGCGTGGGGGGCAGAGGGAGTACAGATAGCTTGGGGGAGAAGAGAGTCAGGGTGGAGGACGTGGAGGTGGTGACATTTCAGTTAGGTCATGAAGACAGCTGGGACTTGTCAGTCAGGATGAGGGAGGCCTTCCCAGTAGGGGGAGCGCCATGGGCGCAGACACAGAGGTAGGGGAGCACAGTGTGTGGAGGACTGGGGACGCAGATGAGCCCGAGGAAGCAGGCAGGCAGAGACCCTGACCACAATAAGAAATTGTGTGGTCAGATTTGCACTGGAGAGAGACCTCTGCATTCATGTGGGGCACGGGGTTGCAGTGGCAGGAAGACCAACCTCTTGTAATAATTTTGACTCTAGTTCCTAAGTACCTCTATTAAGACAGTGACAGTGGGTGACAGAGAGGGGACAGGTCCGGGAGCCATTTAAGGAGGCAGAACGAGTAGAACTTGGTGAGCGGGCTGACATGAAGGGGGGTGTGAGAGTGAAGGGGGTGTAGTGCACAGCGTGGAGACTGTAGTTAACAACACTGTATTTTATATTTAAAACTTGCAAAGAGAGTGGATCTGAGAGTTCTCATCACGAGAAAAAAAATTTGTACGGGAGGGGCTGGATGTTAACTTACTGTGATCGTTTCACAACATAGACACGTGTCAAATCATTACATCCTGTACCTTACCTGGATACAATTACATCTCAGTAAAAATGGAAAACGAAGAAAAACATTTTTCCACGTGACCATAATCAAGAAAATGAACAGTAATTCCCTAACAGCATCTTATATTCAGTCAATATTAAATTCTTCTAATTAACCCCTGAATGTGTTACGTTAGCTTGTTTGAACTGGGATCCAGTCCAGAATCATGTATTCCATTTGGTTACGCCTCTTAAGTCTTTTTGAATGTACGGTATCCCCCTTTCTGTCCAGTTTTCCCTCAGATAGTGACCTTTTGAGAGAGATCGACCAGTTGTCTTGAGAATGTCTAGAGATTGGCTTGTGAATTATTTCCTGGTAGTGTCGAACAGCTTGTTCTTCTTTTAGCTATATTCTATAATCTGGAAATCAGGTGCAGAGGTCTGATTACATTGAGGTTAAAGTTTCTGGCAAGAATCTCTGATGTTATGAACGTCATATTGCATCCCATCAGGAGGCACACAAGGTCAAGTTGCCTCATTGTTAGTGACATGAAGTTCAATCATGTTCCTCGAGGGTAGGAAAATGGCTAAACTTTTTTTATATTTCTCCATAGTGTCTGAAAAAAGAGCTGGGTCTATGGTAATGGGCAGCAGATACAGTCAGTTCTTGTTATTGGCAGTAGTTACACACTATAAAGTGTCTGGACAGTGAATTAGGGAAGACCGGGCCACTGCTTCTAGGGGAAATACAAGGTTAGGTTCCTGTGAGCCTCTGGCCACATTTTCATCAACTAATCAGCACAGACCCTTGTTTTATGTTTCTTTTTAAAAGCACCTTATTTACTACACATTTTTGATTCATTAACATTGAACTCACAGCCAACAGCACTATATCACATTCCTGAGTTAAGCTTCTATAACACATGTAAACCATGGCAGTAAACAGGCAGTGAGGAGGAGGACACGTTCTTACCGTTTGAGGGCCGACCTCAGCTGAGAACACGCGTGTTCTTGGGTGACTCACCTTTTTCAAAGATCTGCGTGTATGTCTGTATAACCACTTCAGAGCCACTGAGTATCGATTTGGGGGTTACCAATAAACTTAGGAAATATGGAATCTTTGGATAATGAGGATTGATTGAATATGTTGGATTATATCACTGAGAATCACCTGTGTGACCTTGGGTTCGTCACATTGCCTCTCTGGACTTCATTCTGCTCACCTGTTTTGCTACTGAACCATGCGAGAGCTTTCTCCCAGCCCTGGAATCTCCGGAACTGAGTGACAGTGGACTTTTCTCCTGGTTTGTCTTCCTGTGGTTGGAGAGATCTCGACGGCTTTCCTTTTTCCCTGCAGGTTTGTGGATTTCCACGCAGCTGCCTCCACCTGCTCACCCTCCCGGGCTTCGCTGCTCACTGGCCGTCTGGGCCTTCGCAATGGAGTCACACACAACTTTGCGGTCACCTCTGTGGGGGGTCTTCCGCTCAACGAGACCACCTTGGCCGAGGTGTTGCAGCAGGCCGGCTATGTCACTGGGATGATAGGTAACACCGGCGCCCCGCAGCCCGGACCCCCGTCTGCCACCGCTTTTCCTAGGCTGGCTGCTTCGTGTCTGTGTACCCCTAACATGTTCCTGCCTGGTCTGCTCACGTCTACATCGTTGCTGATTTCTTGCCATATAAGTTAGAAACGCATTCCGCTATACGTGATTGCTAAGACTTAACCGTGGGCTAAACCAGATATGAACTGTTTTCCTCTCATTCTAATAAACTTAGAGGCTAGCGATTGCTTTCGCTGGCTCAGCCAACTCAAAGAAATTGTACTTTTCTGCTCTGCTGTCGGTACTGTGTTAGCTTTCATCCTTCCGTTTGCTGCCCCCGGGCTGTAGTAGAGCCACTTTGGTACCATTCACCATATTTTGGCTTCAAGGAAGGAAAAAGGGAGGGAAGGCAGTTGACTTTTATCAGGAAAACAAATCTTTTCTCTGTCCCAGAAGTGCACTTAAGTCTTATTGGTGGGAGCTGGGTCACACGGCCACTCTTTGTTGCAAGGAAGGCTGGGAAACCAGGATCATGATTATTTGGCCTCAGGCACAGGTCTCCGGCTGCCCGAACAGAACCGCAGTTCTGTGAGTAAAATGAGTGCTCACACCGGTGCAGGGGCAGGCAAACAGCAGCATCTGCCACAGGGCCCAAGGGCTTTCTTTTCTTTCTAAGTCAGCACCTCTTCCTTAGTATTTGTTTTGCGCCAGGCTGAGTGTTTATTTGCACCAGGACATGGTAGCACGAAAACTGAGTTTTAGACAGTTGTTCAGTGTCACCTGGCCTGGGGCTGATAGGCGTCGACAGGTGTGCCTGGCCCAACATGTTCTCATGCTTTGCCTCGTTGCTGGTCTTCCCTGCAGGGGAGATGGCAACCCAGCCGTCCGAACGGAATCCTCAGGCTGCCTGTGCTTGTTATTCCGACTGCAAGAGCTGGGTCCTGTGGGAGGCCAGCCTCCTGCCACCGTGCATGCGGAGGCAGGGGAGGGTCCCACTCTTCAGATCTCGGTGCCATATCCATTTCTTTGCCCCTTTGCCTTGTGGGTCATTTCCCTGGGGTCTTTATGCAGAGCGGAATCAACAGGGCAGAGAGTTCCAGCATTATCAAAGCTGTTGGTGTACATCAGCAGTTACTCCTCTCAAACCCTGGGCATTTGCAGAGTGAGGAGCGGCAGAGCGTCTGAGCTTCCTCATTTGTGGCCCGATGGGTGTCTCTGCACTTGCGCTGCAGCGGGGAGGCAGTTTCTTGTTCATTGTCTTCAGGCTGCTGCGTTGGCCAGAGAAGAAGACAATGAAACCAGGCAGGAACCGGGCATCTCTGAGACTAGGTGGGGTGTGCACCTGTGCCCTTTGCAGGGCCCCAGCCCAGGAAGGCAGAGTGGGGGTGCTGTGGGGAGGGTGCAGTGGGCACTGAAACCTCCCGGAGGGGAAGAAGCTCAGCCCGCTAGCTTCTCTGGGCTCCCAGTAGTAGCTTGTCTTCCCCTTTCCCTGTGCATTCTCCTGTGTAGCTGCTGAGTCATCCTTGCTTGCCTTCTGTCTCCCTGTGGACTCCCTTGGGGTCCCACAGAGCAAGGCTTGGCTTTCATGCTGTGTTTACAGCCTCTCTTTACTTGTCCTCAGTAAAGGGCAACACTGATGGAGATTTGAGTATATGATCAACTGCCCAGAGGGGCTGGGAGCCCCATGGGGATTCCTCTAAAATTCTTCCTCTTGTTTTTCTACAGGCAAATGGCATCTTGGGCATCATAGCTCATATCACCCCAACTTCCGTGGTAAGAATTCTTTGGGGAATTTGTTACTTGGGAAATAGAAAATAAAGATCTCCATATAAAAAGACTTCAGTAATGTTAAGCCTTCCTGCTCTTGTGGACATCTCTCCTAAGATAGAATATCTTCATTCACAGCATCACTTGGGCACATTTGGGGTGTCTGGGGCTCCCCTTGATCTCACATCTCTCCCTCCCAGCACCTTTCCTCTTCCCTGTCCTTAGTTCCCCACCGTGAGCCCCATTGTTCTCTGTGACCTAGAAACTCCTCCATCTTGGGGAACATTTGGCTGCTGTGAGGTCCAGACACATCTAGTGTGGTAAGGAGCAAAAACCATCCAATTGGTTCCCCGAAGCCGGGATCTCGGCCGTGTGGGCCCTGGGGGAGGAGTAGGGAAGTGCTGTGGGGAACTTCTCACTAAAGCTCGGGTTGGAGAAGAGACAGGATGAGGGCGGATCTCAGAAAAAAAGTCAACACCCAGTATTCAGGTCTCAATTTAACTCTCACATTCCGCCCCCGCCCCCACCTCGCCCCAGTACCCCAATCCCGCTAGCCTTCTGGATTCTAGCTGGAAGGCCATCTCTTCCTAGAAGCACTCCGAGACTTCCATCCCAGTCCCTTCCCCCTCCCAGAAGCTGGGGTTAACTTCTTCCTCTGGTGGCTCTTGTTGGCTTACTGATTATCCACCTCCTACAGCTTCATCTGTGTATCTTATTTTCTCTTCAGACAAGAAGTCTTCTGAGGGCAGAATTTATACTTTTATCCCTTAAAGTGTCATGCATGTGGTAGATTTTCCTCAAATTCTTTCGAATGTGTCAGTAATTGCACTGGGGTTGGTCAGTGTTTAATAATTCTCTTTACTTCCTCCCACTTTGGTCTAACTAATCACAAGATGGTTTGCAAATCTGGTCTTCTAGCCAGAACCCAGCAAAGTGTTTTCTTTGCATGCTACAAAAAGGTATTCATCAAATCCTCTTTTAATTACATACTCCACAGCACTGCAGTATTAAATGGTGGAAAATTAAATTTTTCCTGGGTGTAAGAATGCAGGCTTACAGAACAGATGCCAAGTGGGGGTGCTAACCGGCGGCTTCTCTTCCAGGCTTTGATTACTACTTTGGAATCCCATACAGCCATGATATGGGCTGCACAGACACCCCAGGCTACAACCACCCTCCTTGTCCCGCATGCCCACGGGGTGACAGACCATCAAGGTAACTGGCTATGGGATGTAGAGCAAGGGGAAGCCCTGAGGGTGTGGTCCACGAGGAGTAAATGAGAGAGGCTGACAGGGCACACAGTTAAGGCATCAAAAAGAGTGAAAGAAAACTTTTTTGCAAAGGCGAGGGCAACGACATTTCCTTATTGGCATTTGCCAGGTTACTTGGACTGTTGAGCTCTGCTGGGTAGAGCTGGGTACCACCACGGTCTCACAGGTGGGGCTTCTCTCCTCTGCCTGCTGGCTTTGCTCCTGGCCCACTGACCTGGGCCAGTCACCGGGCATAAGGAGGGACACAGAGAGAGAGAGAGAGAGAGAGAAAGTGCTCAGGGCTCCTTACGAGCTTCACCCCACTCCCCACCCCTACTAGGAAGCCTTCTGCCATTCTGCCATTGGAATGCCACGCAGACACAAAACAAGAAGCTTTAAAAACATATTCAACGACACGGGGAAATGCTCATGATATCACAGTAAGTGAACAAGGCAGAAACAAATCATCAACAGTGTGATTTTAACTGTCTCCGTATTTATGCCTTTATGGCCCTGTCAAGAGAGGCTCATAGGAAATATGCCCAAGTATTAACAATGGGCCATTCACTCCAGTTGTGGGATTAAGGGGCTTTCATTTTTTTTTTCTTTCTCATGCTGTTTTCCAGAAGTCAGTAATAGCATGTAATACATTAATTAGCAGGAAAAGGTAGTAAACGTCATTGAGGTAATGAAGCAACACAAACCACGTAGTCCGTTTGTTCAGAATGTGCACTGGGGTTGTTTATAAGGTTGCAGGTGTTGCAGCTGCTTGGGGAAAGCAGTCTCAGCTGGCTCATTAACAACACAATAGTTAGTATCATATAATAATGGGTGCTTATTGAGAAACCGTTACACTCTAGACACTGTGTATACTTATCCGCAGTCTGCTGAGTGAGGCAGGGATTTGCCTGGGTTTTGCAGGTAGGGCAGTGAACCTCGTTGCCCAGGTCACCCTGGAGCTATAGGACGGAGACTCAGTCCAGGTGTCTCTGAGTGCTGAGCCCACGTCCTCTTCTTGGTCCTTACTCCTCAAACTGTGCTGTCTGGACCAGCAGCATGGCTGTCACCTGGGGACCTGTTAGGAATGCAGAAGTTCAGACCCCACCCTGAGGCCCGCGTTTTAACAAGATGCCAGGGGATGCGTGTGTTCACTGCAGTGCAAGAAGTGAGGCTGTAGAACAGCTCGCCTCCCCCCCTGCCTGGGGCTCCAGGTGGCCGTATTGAGGCGTGGCATATGCCAGCCAGTCCCCTTTAAATCCATGTTAAATCAGAGAGGGGTGGAGGAGGGGAAGAGAGTGAAGCAGGGATCAGTGGTGATGGAAGGAGACCGGAATTGGGGTGGGGCTGGGGGTGAGAGTGTCATACACTCTCATATTTGTAATACAAATGTTGAGATTAGCATTATGATGCCCGGTATGATGATAAATTCTTTTCTCCTTTTAAAAAATTATGGTCCTTGGAGATTACCTACCCGAGTCTGACCTTGTCTGCTAAGCTTCCATGGGTGTGTTTGCATGCAGATGTAATTATTTTTTTCTCAAGTCTTCTACTGTACCACCAGGACCATTTCTGTATTGGAGAAGTCCCCCATTACTCCCCCCGCTCCCCTGTACTACGCTCCCCTCTTCTCTCTCCATTGTTGTCAGCTTCTCTCCTGGTTCTTTGTGGTAATGAGGACAGAGCACTCGAGTTTTTATCGAGTTTCTGGAATGGTAATCAGTGTGCAAAGCACTAACCATCCGTTATTTCATTTAGTCCTCCCAATACCTCTGTAAGAGGGCACAGGCAACCCCATGCTTCAGAGAAGCAAAGTCAGGCTCTGAGAGCTTAGGTAACTTGCCCAAGGTCATGGCCAGATGGTTCCTCGGCCACAGCGATGGAACATTGCCGTGTCAGATTCATTTTGATCCGAATGACAGAGGGCTGAGTTTGTTTTTTTCTGAGAGAGAAGTGATTGGTTCGACCTCCATTTTTTCCAGTTGCTAAAGTTTCTCCAAATTCCCTAAACATGGTTTGAAATTTTAAAATTGCCCCTGGCCAACTGTTCTGCTGTCAGATGTTGTGCCACATGAAATTAATGACGTAGGAAAATAAGTCAACAACAAGCGTTGCATCTCACGGACAAGTCATCGGTTAGCGGGGACGGTGGAAAGAGCCAGGGATGGGGCTGCTGATGGGCTGTGGGACTCTGCTCGAGTCAGGGAGTCTGTTGAGATGCCAGTTGCTCTCCCGGCCAAATGGGAATAATAATGTTTCCAGCTCACACAGGTCTTTGTGAGCTTTATTGAGTGCCCGGGCTTGTCCGAGTACACGCATCTCCTCAGAATGGAAGAAGGCATTATAGTGCCTTCTATATCACCAGGCCGTTAAGTGTTTTATATTTATCTACATGGCTGCATCAAAGCATTTTGTTCTCATTATAACTACTTAAGTCATGGAAATGAGTACTCTGCTGTCTGTGGTTCCCACACAGGAGCCCTGACAGGGACTGTTACACTGACGTGGCCCTTCCCCTGTATGAAAACCTGAACATCGTGGAGCAGCCTGTGAACCTGAGCCGCCTGGCGTGGGAGTACGCGGAGAAAGCCACCCAGTTCATCCAGCACGCAAGGTAAGGGGTCCTGTGGTCCAGGCGCCTGCCCCCTGCTCCCGCCCACCCAGGGCCCTGGCCCCACGCAGCTCTCACAAAGCCACGCATGGCCTACTCCCATTGTCCAGCGGAGATGAATGCACACCTGTCTCCTGTGAACAGAACTGGAGTCCTCCTTGGAGTCCCCACGCCTGGATTTGAAGTTCCTGGGCTTCCTTATGTTCCTGCTGAGACCATGCTGTCCTGTGGACAAGTTTCACTTGTCCTCTCCTTCCAGGGCGGTGTCTCTCCAGTGTGGTTTGGGCTCTCAAAGCATTCGATGAGTCTGTTAGTCCTTTCTTGGGTATGTTCCTTTCTTGTTGCTCCTGTAGCAAACTTACCGTCAACGTAATGGCTAAAATAACAGCAGTTTATTCTCCTACAGATCTGGAGGCTAGACATCTGAAACAAGTCCTAGGGGCTAAAATCAGGGCGTCAGCCCTGCTGTTTTCTTCTCGAGGCTCCAAGGCAGAATTGTCGATGGCCTCTGGCAGCTGCTGGTGGCTGCCGGCTTCCTCGGCTGGTGGCCACAGCACCCTAATCTCCACTCATGTTTTTGCCTTCTCCTTCTCTGTAGTCAACTACCCCTCTAATGCTCTCTCTCTTTGTAAAAAGATTTTATTTATTTATTTTTAGAGAGGGGAAGGGAGGGAGAAAGAGAGGGAGATAAATACAGATTGGTTGCCACTCACATGCACCCGACCAAGGACCAAACCTGAACCCACAACCCAGGCATGTATTCTGACCAGGAATTAAACCAGCGACCTTTCCGTTTGTGGGGTGACGCCCAATGAACTGAGCCACACTGGTCAGGGATCTGTCTCTCTTTTATAAGGATGCCTGTGATTATGTTTAGGGTCTACCAGGATAATCTCCCTGCCTCAAGATCTTTAACTTAATTGCTTCTGCAAAGTCCCTTGTGCCATTAGACCCTGGGTATCTTTGGGGCCACTATTCAGTATAACCCACAGGACTCACAGATTTCAGCAACTATAGGACCCAGGTAGGGAGACTGCAAGAGGGAAGCAGGCTGACTGTGAGACATTAGGGGAATGATGGGCCTGCCATGACCTTGAAAGCACATTCCCCATCTAAGGGGGCAGTCACTACCCAGATCAGGCGCCCGTCACTTCTTTGTGGGAATGGGAGCCTGGGTGGTCAGAGCTTTCCATTCCACGAGAGAGACGGGATACCTGGCCCTTGTGTGAAATCTCCTGATCTTTGAATGTTAGAAACAACTAATTAAAAACAACAGAGAGCAAAAAGCAGAGCCACACCACAGTGTGTCTCTAAGAGCTGTGTATATGTGTGAGGGCTGCTGCTTTGCAGCCCCTGTCGGAGCAGCACAGAGAGTGGATATTCTGAAGCCACAGACGATTCCCAATAGCGCACACTCACCTTGGGTGCACACGTGTAGACCAGAGGGGTGCAAGCACATGCCTGTGTGTGTGCGCACACACAGTCACCCCTCCCCATGTGTCCTGACCTTACAGCTGCCCCCTACAACTCTGATGACCCCATGTGTGTTCCTCTCATCTGTCACCCCAGATTACAAGCTCCCTTAGGGCGGTTTCCAGTAGCTTCTCTAGTATTTCAAACAGCCATAGGCTAAGTGGGCAAGAAAAATGGGCTGCATGCCTCTGCACTTGCGCAGAATTAAAAGTGGACTTCACCTGAGGGAAACTGAGGACTCCAGCTCCCCGAATGTGCGAGAACCCCCCCCCCCAGCTCCTCACTCAACTACATTGAACTTTTCTTGAGAGAAGGGCAGGAGGGAGGGTAGAGGCAGCAACGTAGTAGATCCGATTTTGTTTTCTTGATAATAAAAACTACCTCAGGCCTAAATCTCCAGACTGGTGATTCAGAGGTTGCCTCAAACCAGATTCTCCGGGCTTTTTGAGAAACACTGGCTTTTGTTCAGATGGCTGATAGGAAAAGGGGAAAGACCCCTCTTCCATCTGGAGGGTTGAGCATTTCTCTGCTCCCTGGAGCTCTGAGGTGGTTTCAGGCGTGTGACAAGTGGGCGCTTCGTGGGCGCTGGGGAACGACCTCTCCTGCTTTCCCGGAGCCCCAAATAGCACAGCTTTCATAGAGGGAGGGGCGGCCACCGGCTGGGGACTAGAGATGGTTTAGCACTTGCTCGGAAGAGAAGAGAGCAGAAGAGAGCGGTGATCCTGTTCATTCACCAGTTCGTTCATCAGTTAAAAGATAAACAAATCAATGAACACCCTACTTATCATGTGAAAAAGATAAAGAGTTTGCTAATTTATTCATGAGCTCTGAAGGGAAAAGTCACCTGCCTCCTGTTGGTTTTCGATGTAACAGAAAACAATCCTCAGGCATGCTGATTTCTTTAGGACGGCCTTGCCAATTCATTCCTGACTTTCAGAAAGTCAGCAGAAAAGGCCCCCAGGCCTGTGCTCCTTCCTTCTCTGTGTCCCTCCTCCCGCCCCTCGTCTCCTTCCACCTGGGTCTGAGCGTCAAAGCTACCGGGTCCCCAGGGCGTGGGGTCCTCCTCTCCTCAGCACGGGGCCAGCCCTAGGATTTGTTCAAAGTTTTACTCGGATCTTTACTTGAATGTAGGCCCTTCATCTAGCATCGGCGCTGAAAGCGAATCCTTGCTTTGGGTTTTTTTAAAGCAGCAGGCAGAGCTCTGACTTGACAAAAGACGGAGAAAGCAGATGGTGTGGACTCTGCTCCTTACAGGGGCTGGGACTGGGCATTGAAGCTAATTAGGGGTAAGGTTGTGACAAGGATGAGGGTATTGGGCACAGGTGTGAGGAGTAGCTAAGGATATTTAAAATCACAGTGTATGGTCAAAAGGCTACCGTAGAGGTTAAGGTAATCTAATCGCCCAGGGTCAGACAGCCATGAAATAAAAATTCTTGAAATTTGGATACAGGTCTCCAAAGCCTGTTCTTTTCATCAGTCCACACCGCCTCCTGATGATTGCACGCCCCCTTCAGTCTCTGGCCCAGGGTGCTAACAGGGTGACGATAACGGGCGGCAGTTTGGAGGATAATGATGAGGCCTGAGATAAAGAGCGGGCAGTGGGAACCTCCCAGCCCCCTGGTACTTAACACCTGGCACTTGGAGGAAAAAGCCCTAATTTGCAGCATTTGTCCACTTCTCTCTTACACATACTCTCACCCTGGCTGAATTCAGGCTATCAATGCGCCGTCGCCAACTATGGCGTTGAAAAGACATGCCCGGCACACCATTGTACAGTGTTTCCCTCACACAGGTACAGTGGACGAAAAATAACCTCAAGGGCATGGTAGTAAAATGTAGTAGAATAATCAGACATGATAAACCATGAAAATTTATCACCTTCGTTTATAATGTAATTTATTTCATTGCAAGCTGATTTAATCTGCTTTTACACATCAGTCATGTTTAACACTGGCTTGCAAAATTTTTAAAATTTGAGCCAGCTGTATCCAGCACGCCACTGCAATGTGGCATCTACCTGCAGATCAGAAAAAGGCGCCCCCTGTGGGTGGGTGTTGATCTGCGTCCGAGGGCCTACTGGACCAGTGGATCGTGGGCTGGTATTCAGCTCCCATTCACTTACCCAGCAGGACGTGCTCATGCAGGATACAGTGTACAGAGCTGCACATGATGGTCCTCGGGAGAGCAGGCAATAGATACTCCAAGCCAGCACTATCCAGTAGGAAAAACTCTGAGGATGAAAAGTTCTCTATCTGTGCTGTCCAAGATGGCAGTCGGTAGCCACCTGTGGCTACTGCGCATTTGAAATGTGGGTAGGGCAACTGAGACACTGAATTTGTACAGACATAGTGGTGAAATACATATACAAATTCAGCTTTTTAAGCGTACAGTTCTGCGGCTTTAAGAACATTCTCAATGTTCTACACCCATCACCACCATCCATCTCCAGAACTTTCTTCACCATCCCAAACGAAATTCTGCACACGAAACTCACCAAACAAACACCAGCCTCCCATTTTCCCTTCCCTCTAGTCCCTGTCCCCCCCCCCCCCAGCACCTTTCTACTTTCCATCTCTACGAAGTTGACCACTCTACGTACTACCTATATCAGTGAAATCATGCAACATTTGTCCTCTGGCGACTGGCTTATTTCCGTTGGCATGATGTCTGCTGTGTTGTAGCAAGTGAGACACAGAATTCTGCTTCATTTCATTTTCATTAATGGAAATCTAAATGGCCACACGGGACTTGGGACTCCTGCATCGGACAACCCAACTCTAGAAATGTTGAAGAGAAATCGCTGATTAAAATGGGGAAGGAGAGGCCCATGACCGGGGCTTGTGTGCTGGGTTTTATGTCTGTAAAAGAGAACTGAGTGCAGGCACAGTCCCAGTTAGGAGACCCCTGGAGTCAGAAGCAGGGCTTGAGCTGATGGGGAGCTGATGGTGGGCGTACTTTGAGAACTTGGTGTGGGGTGATGTAAATCAGGGTAAACTAAGAGCACCGAGGCCAATTTGAAAGTCAGATCTCTAGGTGCACTGGGGTAAAAGGAGCCAGCGTCTGTCAGCACTTGGTGGGAAGTTGACTGAGCTGCACCCTCCCTTCACTGTGTCCTCTAAAAGACTACTCCGCAGGTGTGGCCGGTGGCAGGGAGCTGCATGACGGTTTTTGCGGCAGCAAGGGGGACGGGTTGTGGTCCTATAGCTGCCCTTGCCTGGGAACAGAGCTGTGGTCCTACAGCTGCCCTTGCCTGCTCCTTGCCTGGGAAAGAGCCCATCCTGGCTCCCCACATGCCTTTTGTAGGAATCTTCAGGGTTTGAATAGAGACGGCTGGGCACCTGGGTCTGTAACAAAACCTGATCTAGAGGCTCTGGGTAGTGATGTGCTTTGTTTAGCATTCCCTGTGGCTAACATGAGCTATCCATTCATTTCTTAGCCAGGGCCAAGTCTGAGAAGGAATGTGATGGCCTGGATGCTGCAAGAAACAGATAAAATTTAAAAATACGTTTGCATTGGACTTCAGTGTACAGCAGTTATGAGCAAGGGCTTTTCTCTCAGCCCGGTGTAAGTTGGAACCCAGACTCTGCCACTTACTAATGCGTGAATTCGGACAAGTTCTTTAGTCTCCCTAAGCCTCTGATGCTTCATCTGAAAAAGGGAACTCGGGGGTGATTATGAGAATGAATTTAGACAGCATGAGTCCCATTTAATGAGCTCTCAGGAAATCTTAAAGGACAGTAACTGTTATTACAAGGACTTTCAGGTTTTAATTGGCTAACTCGTGTATCTCCACATATTCTAGGAAGGTTCCGGACAGGTAAGTATGTCTTGTGCACGTGGGGCAGAAGGTGTTCTGAGTGTTTTCTCTGCGGCAAGGCAGAGACAACAGAGAGCCTTCTGGAGAGCGACATCTCGGCTTTCCCTTCCAGCACCAGTGGAAGGCCTTTCCTGCTCTACGTGGGCCTGGCCCACATGCACGTTCCCTTACCCGAGACCCAGCTGTCAGCAGACCCACGGGGCCGCGGGCCGTATGCTGCTGGCCTCCGGGAGCTGGACAGCCTGATGGGCCAGATTAAAGACACAGTTGACCGCACGGCAAAAGAAAATACATTTGTGTGGTTTACAGGTAAAGTGCTAAAACCCGGCCAGCCTCCCTGAGAGCTGATGGCTCACTCTGCCCACACACCGTCACTAGGGTTTGTTGGCTTGACTGCTAAGCACCCGTCCACTGGGGCCTCCACGGCTGAGCCCCTGGAAGGGTTTGCACAGAAGGAGCAGGTAACCTGCTGGCCAGTTAAGAATTGATCAGGGCCATCTGGATATTGTTCTTAACTGTTAATGAATGACTTTGATATTGTGAACCTATATAGTCCTCAGAGACTCTGGTTGCTACTGGTCACCAGATCACCAGGTCACACATCTTTTGGCTGAGAGGAGTTGAACTAGGGAGCCAGTCAGAGGGACCAGCCAGGACTTGTGGGTCTCAGGTCCCTGTCTGCGTGAGGGCAGTGGTTAAAAGCACCGCCTCTGTGTCACCTGGATCTGAGTCTCTGTGCTACTGTTGAGAAGATTCATCATATCCCTGAGCCTCTGTTTCTTCATTTACAAAATTAAGCTACCAATGGAATCTAGTCCATAGCATGTGAGAGGATCGGGAGATAATGTATGTGAAGCACAGGGCCCATCACAGGTGCTCAATAAGTAGTTGCTGGGCTGATGACAATGGTAATGAGATTGCTAAAAGTATAGAAAAGGCAAAAGTCTGCAAGGCAAGGCCCTCAAGACCAGACTAGCTTGGGGGAAGGAAAGCCCAGCTCTCTGAAAGCCCAACAGAGTTCCATTGGAAGGGTAGCCCTTCAAGGATAAGGCAGATTTTACAAGTTTCCCTTCTGTCCGGGTCTCTGCTGTGCCCAGGGCTGTAGGGCCTAAGAGAGAGAGAGAATGGACAGAAGTGTCCACTAGCCTATGGACCTTTACATATTGTTTCTTTTGTTTTTTAGGAGACAACGGCCCGTGGGCTCAGAAGTGTGAACTGGCGGGCAGCGTGGGTCCCTTCACTGGGTCGTGGCAAGTTCGCCGAGGTAGGGAGTCAGCTGCAGTTGGCGGGTCCCACTGTGGGTGGGGCACGGGATTCCGTCTCTGGAAGGGCCAGGCCTTAGGGCATCATTGTGAAACAGAAACAAGGTCCGCCCCAGTCACCAGGTCCCAGAAAAGAAGCTAACTGGGACAGAGAGAGTTTCTGTTCAGCCTGGAGCATCCTTCTCCCTCCTTTTCCCCTGGGACTCTCTTGGGGGGCCAGCCCGCTCCCTGCAAGCTGGTCCATGGACTTCCCCACGACTGTGCTTTCCCTTTACTTTCATCCTGCTGTGCATCCTTGTTCTCTTCCCCTTCTTTCTTTCTTTTTTTTTAAAAAAGTCATCCCTCTATTTATCCAACCATTAATTCATTTCATCCATTCAGTAAATATTTAGTGCACAGCTACTGAAGGTTTCCGTACTCATTGTCTCTAAACCTCACAATCGTGGTAGGTTCATCACCATTTATTGGTGAAGAAAGAGAGAGGCTCAGAGAGGCCGGGCAACCTGCCTATAGTCACACAGTATGTGAGGAGGGGGCCAGGCTTGCTGTCAAGTTAAAGCTGGTGATCTTCCCACTACACCACGCTTCCTTTCCCTATTGAAATATCCTTTGGCTCCCAGCTCAGCGGCCACGTGCTCTGGAAAATGTTCCTCACCAGGCTTTGACTTTTCTGAGAGAGCAGCCATACTGGGGACAGCTCAGTGGTATGGGCCAAACCCCGAAAAAGGCACGTGCCTGATGATGCTTCAGTTCCTCCTCTAAGAATTTGTCCTGAAGAAATAAATAGCCAAGTACCCAATGGGGTTTGTAAACTGATGCTATTGCAGTAGGTTTTTTAAATAACAAGTGGACGTAACCCAAGCATCCAGGAGTAGGGGAGTGTTAAGGAAATTATGATACATCCGTTTAAAGAAATGCTAAGGATCCCCTGAAATGCTGCGTATCATTGACCTGGACACAGTTACATTAAATACTTTTCAGTGAATAAAGCAGGTTACAAAACAATATGTAAAAGATAATTTTAGTATGTAAAAATAAGGACAGTTATTCTCAGGAAATTAAACGAGGCAAGAAAAGGTAACAAAAGATTAGCAGTAATTACTTATGGGTAGCAGCGGGAGGGTTTAAGTGTGATTTTTTTTTCCCCTCACAATTAACTGGTATTATTAATACATATCTGAAAAAATCAGGTTCTTTAGAAGGTGCTTGTATCTGAGGGATTTGGAGGTGGACTTGGAGACATTGCCCGCTGGGCCTGGGTTTTCCTGCTGTTCAGCTCAGTCCTGAGCTGTGGCCCCCGCTGTCTAAGTCAAATGACACAAAGTCCCTTTCTTATTAGTCTGGCAGAATATTTGTAGTTTCTTAGGACTGGAATCCTTGTGTCCCTCATGGCTGGGGGCAAGATGGGCGTGCTGATCATTCCTTTTTATTCGTCTTTAACGTGGTATTCCTTGGCTCAGATCCCTGGAGAACTTTACAATCGAGTGGCTGCCAGGACTGTGGCCCCGTCTTGTGTCGGGGAGCTGAGTGAGGAGCCAGGGAACGGGGTACCACCTCCCTTCCTCTGCACAGTGAGCAGACACTTTATCGTTCGGGGTTGGAGTTGCTGCTGTTTCTCTCTCTCTCTGTGGAGCTCTTTGGTTCTCTCCAGTTCCAGAGTGCTGTAATTCAGTCCTGGTTGCCGGAGACCTGGGCCAGGAAAAGATCCCAGGAGTGGAGGCGGGTGGAACTCCAGGAGTGGAGTGGAGGTGGGAGGGAGGTCCGATACATACAGCTGCAGCCTAGGCAGGGGTGTCCTACATGCTGCCCGAGGGCCACATGCATCCTAGCTTGGCTGTGAATGCGGCCCAACACCAAATCGTAAATTTGCTTAAAACATTATCAGATTTTCTTTGTGTGTGATTATGTGTTTTAGTGTATTTAATGTGTGGCCCAAGACCACTCCTCCAGTGTGGCCCAGAGACACCACAGGGGAGACAGTGTTAAGTAGGGAGTAGTTATTTGCATTAGCTGGTGACATTTCTTCCTCTAGTACCCGGGACACCCTCAGGCCAGGCTGCCCACTTCAGTTCAGTGGGAAAGCCTGGAAGAGCCTGGGGTCACAAGTCTCTGGACAGTAAGAATCCAGAAGGCATGAAAACCAAGGATGAGGGGGAAGGGCCTGTAGTAAGTGGCGCCTGTGTGGGGAGCTCTCTGTCTTCCCAAAGTTGGTCTCTGATCTATCTGAAGACCTGCCGCATCTCGCCTCTTCCCCGTCATATGGGGCAGTTTGGAAATATCGAATCAAGTTTAAGGGTGTGGACTGGGGTCTGTTCTTTGAGGGAAGGATCTAGCCCTAGGAGAAACACGTGTGCTGGCTGGGCCCGGGCAACCTCCACCTCTTCCCTCCTTCCATTTCTGGAGCACAGACTATGAGCCAGGAACTGAGTGCTGGGAACACGAAGACCCTCGAAGCCCCTGGCTTTAAGGAGTGACAGTCTAGAGCAGTGTTTCTTGGACTCTCAAGAGCAGACAGTCCCCTGGGATCCTGCTAAGATGTCGTACTGACTCAGTGGATCTGGGACGGTGATGGAGATGTTACCTGCCCAGTAAGCTCCTCAGTGATGCTGATGCATCTAGTCCAGGGACCACACTGGGGGAACAACCAGTCTAGAATATCTACATCTAGACCCTATTGATTCTAGAGTCATCAAAGCCTGGACCTTTCGCTCGTGAGCCAGAAGTTATCAAAGGTGGTCTCTGGACCAGCAGCGTTAGTGGCACCTGAAAACCATTAGCCACGGAAATTCTAGGGCCTCGCCCCAGACCTTCTGGGATGGGCCCAGAAATCTGTGTCTTAACAAGTCCTTCAGATGATTGCGATGTGGGTTAAAGTTTGAGAGCCACCAGTCTAGAGCCGCCCCGCCCCACACGCCAGGCAGTGGCCACACGTTCCTTGGCCGGACTTGGAGAGCTCAGAAGCCGCCTGTGGCTACCATACCAGGCAGTGCGACTATGAAACATTTGCACCGTGGCAGGAAGTTCTGTTGGACAGTGTGGGAGTGAACATATAAGCAGGTCGTTATGCTACAGGGTAAGAGCTCCTTGGTGGCAGGGAGCACCAGCGCCTCTCACCGACTCAGACGGGGAACAGGAAGGCTGCCCTGAGTGGTTAGTTTTGAAGAACAAGTAGGAGACGGCCAGGGATTTTCAAGGGAGGGGGCTCGGGGCTGCCTGGGCAGGGGCGGGAAGACCAGGTGGTAGGAGCTGCCCAGCTGTCTGTGCCTGGAGCTCGTGGGAGCAGAGAGACAAGGCCGGGGCCAGTGTCCAAAGGTCTTTCCTTTTATGCAAACGCTTCGCCATCCTTCTAAAGAAATGAGGAATCATGCAAGGATTTTAAGAGCAAGAGTGACATTCAGTTTTGAAATGGAGGTGAAATTCACGTAACATAAAATTAACCACTCTAACCTGTACCATTTGATGGCATTCGGTGGCATCTGGCACGCTCACAGGGCTGTGCCACTGTCACCTCTGCCGAGACCCTAACATTCCCATCATCCCCAGAGAAAACCCCGTGCACATTAAACACCTCCTTGTTTCCTATTCCTCCCGGCACGCTCAGTTTTTTAAAGAGCCCTCTAATGTCAGCGAGAGACAGCAGCAAGGACTGACTTGCTTCCACTGAGCTCAATATGATAAATGAGAGAAGCAGGAGACAGTCTCCAGGAATATCCCTGCATTTGAAGAACACCAGGGTCGGAGGAGACCTCAGTGATCTTTATTCCAGCGGCGCTGTTGGCCAGATGAGGAAAACTGAGGCTGAGCAAGGTGGAGACCCTTTCCAAGGCCTTTGATCAAGGAGGTCACATTGTTTAGCCCCAGTGGCTCATTCCACACCCCCGTGATTGTCCTGGGGACAGTCATGCCCTGTTCTACAGGACTGACGGCTCAGCTGTCTGGAAAATCTGCCCTGCTTCCCTGGACCCCGTGGGAATCGAGGACAATGTGTTGAGCCCCTGTGGCAGTCTGAGTCTCTCTAAACCCCTGGGAGGCAGTCCGCAGGGGTGGAGAGGATGAATGGCTTTGGAGGCCCAGCTTGGGCTTGACTGTCCACTGAGTTTAGGATCTGGTGCCTGCGGCGCACCGTTCCCTTTCAGCCCATCTCTTCCTCCGTGCTGCGGGTGATAGACCCTTCTCCCTGGGTGACTGGAGGGTCCACCGGACTGTTGCCCGGGGGGCACTCAGCCTCTGTGCTCTGCCTTCACTAACTCCCACAAGACTCAATTCCTTCACTCCCAACTGAAACAAAGTGTTGGGGGGCGGGGAACCACAAAGGGAAAGGCGCCCTAAAAGAGATTTCCTACTGAGCTATAATTTATGTCAATAATTTATGGATACTTTTCCAAGGGTTCTGGGTCTCTGTCTTGGGAAACTGTTCTCAGAAGCCAGCTTTCAGTTATCTCAGGAGAACCCTCTTTTGGGGCAAGAGCCTTTCCAAATGTTTTAGCTTCATGTGGTATCCAAGCAGCAGGCACAGCACCTGAGCTCGTGGCGGGGCTGGGGCTGGGCCCATTTCCTTCTTTTCGCAGGGGATCCGGAAGGCACACTGCCTAGTAGTAAAAACCCTGTCTTCTCCATTCTCTAGACCAGCTTTCTGTCAACTGTTCTGCAGGCTTCCTCCTCCTCTCTGCCTGGGAAGGCAGGCAGAGCCCTGTGTGGAAGGGCATTTACCCAGGGCTCAGGTCAGCTTAGCTGGGGGTCCTTCTTGACCACCTGCTCCTCCCCACCCAGGAGCCTCGTCAGTGGGATGCCTGCACATCCTGCTGTAAGGGGGCCAGTTTTCAGAGCAGATGAAAGCGAGAAGACAGTCAGTGTTTTTGCAGGGAAGCAGGACAAACAGTACCCGGAGCCCTGCGTCTTCTGCCCTGCGGCCAGCCCCGTACGTCAGGCCCCATGCTGCCTTGTCCCTGTTCTCAGGCTCCCGGGCCCCCCTCCTTGTCTTCCCTTTCCTTTCCTGGCCCAG